AATGTTTCGAAAAATATTCATGATTTGAAACACACGATTTTTTTCAGAGAGAAAAACAAAAATCGTAGTTTCAAAAATTTCAAAAAAAGTTCACTTCATTAAAACTAGTGTTTCAAAACTGCCAATTAAGAATAATTTGTTTTTCGCAATTGCTATTCCTCTAATTGTAAAGCAATAACAAAGGTTTAGAAATGCTTTTTTCTTCAATAAATTTGAATTTGTCACAACTAAAAATAAAAATTCAGAAAAGAATACTACTCCAACAACACCATATTAGCACCTGTTGTTTCCTTTAGCTATTACTACGGTAGTGTTTGATTGCAGCCAATTTGAGAGAGCCTTCCCCTTTCTCTCGTTTCGGCGCCTTTTCCCTTTCAAATTATTAGTGCTCAAACGGAGCAAATGTAGTGGAAAATATTTGCGGATGATTTATTAATAAGAAGGCTGTTATAGAAAGAAAATGAAGAAAACAGTGGCATTTGGACAGGGAAATCGGGGAAAATAAAATCCATCTCACAATAATTTTTTGGGAACAGACAAGACTGAATGGAATATTGCAATGTAGAATCTTCCAAAAATTATAACCCCCTTGAAGCAGTAACGTTTGAAATTTGAAAAAAAGAGAGTTTCCCACTATAAATTGCCAAAGCTTCACTCTCTCAAAACAAAAAGAGTTCGGATGGAGGTGAAATGACCAATATATTGAGCAAATATAGGGAAACTTTGAAGAGGATGATTCAGGTGTGTGTGAATAAGTAACAGTACAGGTAAACGTTTGGAAAATATTGAAAAAAAGGAGAAAGGAGAATTTAAGAAACTCGATACTTACCAAAAATAATACGGCTGAAAATCATAAGAAAATTTTAACAACTTTCTGGAACAGTGATTAATCAATGGAATTTCGAAATTTTATGCTCCACACATATCGAAACAGTTATAGCAATTAATGCCGTTTCACATTTTTTTTGAATTGTTTTAAAAGTTTTTTGTATGATTTTTGCCTTTTGTAAATCGGAACTTCGTTGACCTTTTTCGTCTCATATCGTTTCATTGAAAACTGATAACTTTACCATACTGTGATTTACTTCATTTTCGGATTTTCAAGAATGTTCTGGAACAGTGAAAATTCTTGAAAACTGTTTCAAAACTTTTGTTTCTTTTTCATTAAGAGGAGAATAGACAATTTATATGACTTCAAGTATTGTATTGCTGTTTTACTCGTTCAATGAAGTTCACTAGTTTTATTCATGTTACTTTTATGGGTAAAAGCAAGCAGTAATTAGGAATTACCGTATTTCCTCTAATTGAAGCCCATGGGCTTCTATTTTTTAACATCCTTCTCAGGAAATTATCAAAATTTGAAATCTCTGGAATATTTTTTCGAAAGAAAGACAATGTCTGCAATAACCGAGTAAACGAACTGCACTGTACAAACTGCTCTAACTGAACTGCACGAAATTCTGTTAGAAGTTGCGCTTCTATGTTTTTAAGCACGTCAGAGGGTGGGCTTCTATTAGAGGTGGGCTTCAATTAGAGGTGGGCTCCTATTAGAGGAAATACGGTAATGAAAAATTTGAACAAAAAATTGTTCAACAGTGTAACCAGCTTTGTTCACAAAGGGCACTATTGATTTGAAAATTGGAAATATGTCGTACGGTTCTTGAAACTGTATTTATTTTTAATTATTTTTATAATAAAGAAACTAATCTTCTTTAGATCTACAGTACCGAAAATTCTGCCAAACGATGGTCCAAACAAGTGCAAATGTTATCCGAACCTATGTAATCTTTAAAATTGGTAAAACAACACTGTTCCATAATATTCATAAATCCTATGAATCAATTTATTTATTTTTTTTTTTTAATTTATTTTATTTCAACGAAGGGGAGAAAACCACTAACACGTGAAATGTCTATGAAACTAGGAGATATAACAGGGACATACATTTGTAGTAATTGGGAGATGAAGGAAAAACCGAGTTAGTAATTAGTTGAATTCAACACAAGAAAATGTTTTAGATCACAGGATAATAGTCGATTTTTGAAAGCCACTGACGAGGGCTTCACCGGAAACACTTTGGCGGGTAAAGAGTTCCAACATCTGATTACTCTATTAGAGAGAAATTGAGAAGATATTTTTGTTGAGTTTTTGATAAGTGATTTGAGATAGTATTTGTGACGACGCAATGATCCAGCATGATTAAATATTTCGAAAATTGGAACCTCCATGATAATTTCTTTGGAAACAATAATTTTATACGTGTAGACCAAATCATTATAGAGCCTGCGATACTCCAAGGAACTTAGCTGACATTCTTCCAGTGCTTCAAAGTATGAAGTGTATGCCATCCTGAATTTTTTGAAAACTCTGAAAACAAATGACTTTTGCACCGATTCCAATTTTATAATATGATCCTTTAGGATTGGAGAAGTGACTATCGTTCCATATTCGAGTAAAGGGCGTATGTAAATTGTATAGCATTTTATAAAAACACTCCACGATGCGTTTTTTAGAATGGAAAAGAACATGTTGATCCTCTGATGTGATTTCCGAATAATCAACGAATAATGATAATGGAAACTCAGGTTACTGGAAAAGTAGATTCCAAGATCACGGACATTTTTCACAGGGGGAATCAAAGCTTGATTTAATTTGGGATTCATAACATTGGAGTTGGCATATTTTCTTGTTGCATTGAATTGATGTATTCGCACTTTTTAGGACCCGCTTTCATTTTCCACTTCGAGCACCAATTCTCCAATTCAATTAAATCTGCATCAATCAATCTATCATTCGTATCATAAATTTTCAAGTCATCTGCAAACAGTAGATAGTCACTTTGAAATTTGTCCCCAATACAATTAATATATAACAATGACAGGGGAATTCATATGAAAAATTCATAGAAATCGCAGTTCTCTTCCATTTTGATACAAAATTTTTGGTCGGAGTCCTACTGTAAATCAAAAAGTACTGCTTCCCAACTTTCATAAAAGCTTTAAATTTAAGATGCTTATGATACGTGAAGGTTAGGTTCTTGAGTAATAAAGTTTCTAAATTTGAATAGGTTTTGCATAGCATTTTTCTCTAAATATTCCCCACGCATCTTTTATTTGGCCAAAATATTTAATTTGAAAGTAGAACCTTCGAACATTTATCTAGGGACAGTGACCTGATTTCTAGTGGTCACAAAACTAAAATTAACTGTTTCGTATTGTTGGCCTATTAGGATTAATATTCCAAAAGTGGTTGTTCCCATACTTGTAACGGGCGTCTATCANTCGTGAATCGCGGGGTCGACTCCTATATGTGCGTTTTCGTTTTTTTTTTGTTTTCATGCGGCGACATCCTAGAATGGTCGAATAACGAGAAAAAGAATAAGTGCCAAACAGTGAAGAAATCTAGTGTATTCTAAAAAAAATAAATGCTCGGCAAGTAGCGCGCATTGGTCGCAATCGCACGATTTTCCGTC